AGAGAGAGAGAGAGAGAGAGAGAGAGAGAGAGAGAGAGAGAGAGAGAGAGAGAGAGAGAGAAAGAGAGAGCTGGCAACCACCAGTACTTTGGCGCATCCCTTGCCCGGCCTGGAAACGCCCTGTGCACCAAAGAAAACAAAACAAACCTCACCTGCGCAGGCCTTCTTTTGGCTGGTGCCATCAGCCACTCTGCCCTGCTACGGGTAGGTCAACCCCCGCGTCTGGCTGGGTCGATCAAGGACTGGGTGAGAATTTTGCGGGGTCGTCGGGGACATTTTTTGAATTGAAAGTCGAGAGACAACATTTCAAACGGCCTGTTTCCCGTGGGGCCTGGTCAATGAAGGGCTAATTCGCAATTTTGCAAGGGCCTACTGTGGACTTATTTCCGGACGGGTGCTTTTGCTGGCCCTACCCACATACATATTGGCCAAAAAAGAGGGGCTTTTAACAATCTCTAATCTCTAATGGGCGGGGAAGGCGGGGAAGGCGGGGAAGGCGGGGAAGGCGGGGTGCCTTCCGAGGGGCTTTTTCCGTCAAAATGAGGGTGCGTTTTGTTCGGGGGGAGACGGGTAGGGTGGCCCAACAGTCTGTTCCCGTTTTCATGGGTCTGGGCGGGGTGCCTTCCGCGAGGTACAAGGTCTTGATCGTATTCCCCCGAAGCGAAAAAGGATGGCCAGTCCTTCGGGACATCTTAAAATTGGAATTATACAGAGAAGGGTAATTAGCATGGCCCCAGGCGCAAGGATGACACGCATAAATCGAGAAATGGTCCATATTCAAAAAAAAAAACAAAAAAAAAAACAACAAAAAAGGATGGCCGACGATTTCGCTTGGGGGTAATACGATCAAGACCAGACCCATGAAAACTGGAGCAGACTGGTGGGCCACCCTACCCGTCTTCCCCCGAACACAATGCATTCTCATTTTGACTGCATAGGGCTGGAAATACAACTTGTATACATTCAATTTAAGGGTGCGTTATGTTCGGGGGAAGACGGGTAGGTAGTCATCGGCCGAACCGGTGTGGTTCCTTCCTGTTATTGCCTTCCGGCACGGTGAACTTGTCGAAGGCACGTCCACCGGCCTTGAGCACATATGGCAGGACGCGGCACGTGTGGACGCCACGTGCTGCCACGTGCCGCGCCGCGCCGCGCCGCGCCGCGCCCCGCCCAAGATCGGCTTTGTGCCACCTCTTAGGCGGCGAGGGAAGGCGCTGCACTGGTAGACGACTTCGCGCCGCAGTTGGCAAAGGAAGGTAATGATTGCAGCCAATATCGAGCATCGTCTTCTCCCCGAGCAACAGGCTTGTCCAAGGACGGCCGCCTTTCTCTCAATGTCATTGCGGCCGCCTTCTCCCTCGAAGCGGACGGCTAACATCCTCGAAAAGATCGATATGTATGTAGCAGGCACTTGCCTTCATACACGCATATGTATATGTGGTAAAGAGACGAACTACAGGGGGGAAAAGCGGGGCTGGGGGGAGGGGTCGGGGGAGGGGTAAGGGGCGTCTGGGCGGGGGGCGGGTGGGTAGGGGGTGTGTGCGTGGCTGGGTGGGTCTGTGTGTGTGTCTCTGGGTTGGGGAGAGAGAGAGAGAGAGAGAGAGAGAGAGAGAGAGAGAGAGAGAGAGAGAGAGAGAGAGAGAGGCGCCTCTCTCGACTGGACGTGAGTGGCTGCTGGCGCCCATCATCGGTCCTGAAGTGGACGAAGTTTGCACGTGGACAGCACAGTCGGACTCGGAGACCATGGTAACGACTGTGGCTATGTCGGCGCTCACGTGGGTGGGAGCCTGGTCATCCATGACTGTCGGTATCATGGTGGGGTTAACTCTGAGTGTGGTGTGGCTGTCGAGTTATGCCTTCGAATGGCTTTCTCAACTGGATGATGCGAGGAGGCTGGCGACCGAGGGGTACTTAGAGGATTGTAATTCTCTGGCCAAGGTTCCTCTCCCGTCGATGTTCGAGCCCGCGACGAAGTATCTGTCCATTATCATTCCTGCGTTCAACGAGGAGGACAGGCTGCCCAACTTCCTCGACGAGACGATGAGTTATCTGAGGAAGCGCGCCGCCCGTGAGCGATCTTTCACCTACGAGATCATCCTCGTTGATGATGGCAGTCGAGATGGGACATCAGCCGTTGGATTCTCTTACGTCAAGAAGTATTCGATCGACGTGTTTCGTGTCATACGCCAACGGAATCGAGGCAAAGGCGCCGCTGTGAGAAAGGGGATGCAATGCGCGCGAGGTGAGCTGTTGTTAATGGTGGATGCTGATGGTGCCACGAAGCTGCCCGATTTCGAAAAGCTCGAGAGCCAGGCGTTCGACTTGATGTCAAGAAGATCGGCATTATCAGGGGGGGGGTCAATCACGTCGGCGGGAAGCTATTGGAGGTCGGAGGAGGATCAAGCTGTCGCAGGGGCAGGAGCTGTCTCTTATACACATCTAGATGTGTATAACCAAACGGTAATGTCGTTTGGGCCTGCCCGTCGG